ATTGTTTCTAATTTTCTGCTGTTTGAAGTAACACTATGATAAATACCACTGGATGTCAGCCTTATCTCTTTTCTCTCATAATCATTTCTCTTTTTTTATGCTTATTTATTTTTGAGAGAGAGAGTGCAAGCAGGGTAGGGGCAGAGAGAGAGGGACACACAGAATCTGAAGCAGGTTCCAGGCTCTGAGCTGTCAGTACAGAGCCTGACGTGGGGCTCAGACTCAAGAACCACAAGTTCATGACCTGAGCCAAAGTCGGATCCTCAACCGACCGGGCCACCCAGGTGCCCTAATCATTTCTTTTTTGTTTGTTTGTTTTTATTTTTTTTAAGTAACCTCTACACCCAGCATTGGGCTCAAACTCACAATCCCAAGGTCAAGAGTTGTGTGTTCCACTGACTGCGCCAGCCAGGTGCCCCTCTCATAATCCTTTCTACATGGAATTAAGGGTGGTTTTTTAGAGTTACTGGTCCTAAGAAAAGGAACTTTTAAAAGGTTTCATAATATAATCGAGCAGTTGAATGTGACATTTTGAAAGCTTTAAGTAGATTAAAGTAGTGGTAGGCAGTAGAAATTCAGTATTGCTTCTTAGTTTCCCAGTTTCCCCTGCTTCTCAGCTCTTTGGTTTTTAACCTCGATCCTATGACAGACAGGAATAGATGTCTGTCCAGAACCTGATCTCTGCCCTCATGATTCAGTCCATGTGACCATCAGCCATCCTGTCGTCCAGTGATAGACATTCCACCCTCACCCTCAGCGTGTCTCATTCCCGTCACAGTTGCCTGTGTCCTTGGAGTACTATACAGAGCCTCCTGAAGACAACCTGGCCCTCCTTCAGCTCTACTTCCGGACCCTGGTTACTGGTGCACTCTGTCCACGCTGGTGCCCTGTGCTCTATGCTGTGGCTGTGGCTCATGTCAACAGTTTCATCTTCTCCCAGGACCCAAAGAGCTCAGTAAGTTATATCCTGGTGTCCAAAGGGAGGAAGGGAGACTGCAGTTGAGCTGCCTCTGGGTCATCTGGGGAGGAGATGAGGGCCAGACAAGACCAGTGATGGGTAGAGCCCTTGGCCCAGTGTCCCCTGTCTCTGTTCTGCCTCTAGGACGAGGTAAAGGCTGCCCGCAAGAGCATGCTGCAGAAGACTTGGATGCTTACGAATGAGGTAGGGTGGGGCACATCCTGGAGGGTGGGAAGACAGTAGGTCTTGGGGCACAGAGATCTCAACAGGATCTCACTACCTACTTCATAAAGTTTCTGCCCCTTTTGCAGGGCCTCCGGCAGCACCTTCTACACTATAAGCTCCCTAATCCTGCCCTCCCAGAAGGCTTTGAGCTGTATCTCCAGCTGCCCCCTCTGCGTCAGCAGTACCTCCAGAGACTGACCTCAGGGATGCTCCAAAATGGGGTATCAGTGACCTAGCACAGCTGCTACAGATGAAGAGACGGATACATTCTCCTGGAGTTCACCAACACGGGCCTGGCCAGACAGAAGGTTTTGTGGCTTAAGGATGGGCGGGAGACAAGGGAGCAGAAGGCTTGCCTTCCTGGGAGAAGGCTGTGTGAGCTTTTTTGGAGCAGTGAACCCTCCCATTATATCCTGATGTGTGAAGCTCAGGATCTGGTCCATATGGGACTGAAGGGTGACTTAACTACTTCCCCCTCTCTTGGAGACAAGACAAACTATGTACACCTCTCCTTCCCCTGCCCCAGACCAGATAAATAAATGCTGTAGATGTGTACTGAAATAAAAAATGTTTGTATCTCCTAGGAATCTGATTTGGACTGATTTCACACATGTTTAGGATTGGTATGGAGGGATGGGCTATCCCAGGGGAGAAGCTGGATTCCTGTGAGAGAAAAGAGAGATGAAAACAGAGTCTACATCTATCTGAGACAACAATAATGTAGGTCCCAGTTCTGCAGTAGAGCCAGGCCAGAGTAATGTTCTTGGGAAATGGTACTTCTGGAAGGACTCGTAGCAGTCCACTTGGAGTATAAGTATCCTTAATGAGGTCAGCATCTTGTCTCCTTATGGTCAGTTAACTGCTGAGATATGAAGAAACCGGAAATAAGACTGTGCACTGACTCTTAATCTATTTGGGCTGCTGTAATAATACCGTAGACTGAGTGGCTTATACACAACAGAAATTCATTTCTGTTCTTGGGGTTGGGAAGTTGACTAAGGTGTTGGCACAGTTGGTCTCTAGTGAGAGAGTCACTTCCTGGTTCGTAGACAGGCTTCACATGGTAAAAGGGAAATGAGCATGGAACCCTTATGACCTAATCACTTTCCAGAGACCTTGCCTCCAAATACCCTCACATTGGGGATTAAGGTTCAACCTACAAAGGAGGCAGGGATGAGAGCACAAATATTCAATCTATTAGTGTTGTCACACAACACCCCTTCCATTGTGGACTTTAGTGGTGGTAGGTAAGGGCTGGGAAAGAGTGGATCAAACCATGAATTGACTCATTGGTTCATCTCTTTGTAGAGTTTTTAGGTTCTTTTGTCTAAATTCTAACACGCTTTCTTACAGTGTCATTTTCTATGTGGAATTACCTATAAGTGTGTTTACAGGTCATCAGAGTGAGGGCAGTGTGCCCTGTCAGTAGGCAGAGAGAACCCATTTCCCATAAATGGAGCTGATGAACACAGAATTCTCCAGTAGGTTTATTAAGAACTACTTCATCTGCAAACAGCAGTAGTTCCCACACTGTGTCTCCAAGTGTGTTAAAACGATTGCTGGCCGTACACCAGTGTTTCTGATTCAGTAGATCTAGGGTGAAACCCAAGAATTTGCATCTCTAACAAGTTCCAGATGGTGCTGATGCAGCTATCTGAGCCCAAACACACTTTGAGAACCAATAGTTTACCGGAACCTTAACAAGGAAATTCTGTGACCTCCTAGTGGGCTACCAACAGTTTTAAATAGGGTTTGGGTACTAAAGTGTTTACAAAATCACTTAGTGTCTTTATCTACTACTATATACTCAGGGATGTAACCAGTAGCTAACTACTATCACTTTTTTTTTCAGTGCTTTATATTAAACACAGGTCTCAGTCTTTAAAATTAGTATTTTGGGGAGCACCTGGGTTGTTCAGTCAGTTAGGCGTTGGAATCTTGATTTCAGCTCAGGGCATGATCTCATGGTTCATGAGTTCAAGTTCCACATCCGGCTCTGTGCTGACAGTGCAGAACCTGCTTGGGATTCTCTCTCCCTCCCTCTCTCTGTTCCTCCCATCCTCTCTCACTCTCTCAAAAACAAATAAATAAAACTTTTTAAAAAATCAGTATTTTGGAAAAAGAATAAAGAAGACACAAAACCACTCGAAGGCTAAGTAACCTTCACAGTTAAAGGGTCCCTTGTGGTTTACAGAGCAATCCCCCTTCATATGATTTTAAAGGTGGTGGGGAAACCATCTCAGCACAGTGTGACCTGAGCAGCATCACTCACTGACTAGAAATGTTAGCCCTAGCACTTAGATCTTTGACATCAGGATTCAGGTTTTCACCCCATCACACTAAGAACTTGTACAAAGAGTTAACACAGGCAATCAATTGTATGAGGTGAGCTGAGAGGCCCATGTTTCTGAGGGTATCTGGAGATTCAGCCTTTTAGTCAAAAAGGCACTGAAAAGACACAAGTAATGACAAGTAATAATGCCTTACTTGGGGCAGTAAGTACACATCCCACCACCAATGAAGCAGTCACTCCACTGCTCCTGATGTGAGTTAGAAAGACCTAGAAGCTTGGGCAAGGTGTCTGGGGTGTGGCTTACCATTTTCTCAGGCTCCAGCCTCAAAAGGGTGGGGGGGGGGCACTTTCTCCCCTACCTTACACTCACCCCATTTTCTGAGGCAGCCAGCAGACAACCCAATGGATTGAGATGCAGAACTAAGACAGAGCCCTTAGGATGGGTGCTTGAAAGCCTCTTCCTGGCCCCGCCCTTCCCTCCTTCAGCATCCTGGGGTCTGAGGTGGGAGTGGCCAGGCAGGCTTTAGGACCACCAGTTTCTAGCAAGTTGCTGGATGCTCCTATAAGGGGGAGTCCGGCAAAGTGGCAAGGTCTGAGCCCACAACCCTCAGCGCAGCAGGCTAAACAAGCTACGGGCTGCTTGAGCTGGCTGCTGCTGGGGATTGGAGCCACAGCTGAGTGCCTTCTGTCAAGGAACCACCTGGCTAGAGGCATCTTCCTAGGCTTGGGAACAGCGGTGGAGGCAGACAGGTCCTGTCGCTCCCCTGGATACCTGGAACCCTCAAGGCCAGCACTTCCAGGTCAGTACTCCAAGGAGAGTGCCAAGAAGCATGGTGCGTTTCTCCATCTGAGGTCCCCCACTGCTCAGTTTGGGAAAGAGGGACAGGCCTCAGGGTCTCAGCACTGCCTAGGCATGAGACTACCTAGCTAGGTCAAGGAAGGGGTGGGGGACCTGCAGGACCAATCTGCTTGTGGCCCCCAAGTCATTCACAAGGACTCCGCAGGGGAGAAACTTGCAGAGGTATCAGCAGGCACGCCATGGGGCTTCAGTAACTGCAGTTGGTGGTGGCCTGCTTCCGGATGCCGGTGTGCCCCCGCTGGGTGGGGTTAGGATTGTGGCTGTGAGAGGCAAGTGTCGGCATTTATCTATCTACATCTCCTTTCCCCCATTTAACATCCTGCCCCCTCTCCCAACCCCACTATCTCGTTGCCACCTTTCAAGAGCCAGTCTCTGCTCCAGCTCATTGTCCCAGGCATCTTTTCTGCCATCCTTGCCTCTGTCGCTGCCAGCTCTAAGCCCCCAAGACTCAAACATCACGACCCCACCTAGTGGCTTGGAGCCAGCTTCTCCCCTAATTCCCCAGGTAAGCTCCAAGCTCCTTCCTCCCTTCTCTGCTCACCTTACCAGTCTAGGGCAGGTGCTTATATGAGCTTTTCCTCCTTCCCTGCTCCCCACCATGGAAGTGCCTTGGCTGTTCTCCTGCGCGACAGTGTCGTGGAGGACGCACACAAACAGTGCGACAAATGGTACACAGGCAGCGGCCTGGTGTCGACAGTGGGGGTCAGGAAGACTCTGAAAGGCGTAAAGTTGTGGAGGTAACCACCTATGGGTATCTGTAAGTGCAGAGCAGGGGGGAGTGGGTGGTGACCTGTGAGTCTGAGGTTCTAAAGTCAGGGGACCAAAGGCTTCATGCACACCACACTGTCTTAGGGTATTCTACAACCATGTGCTCCCAGGACTTTGTCCCTACTTTCAGCAGAATCGGGGAAGAGTGGCAATAGTCGCCACAGAGTTAGCCAGTACCTCGGAGCCTGTTCCCACCAAATGAACAGCCCCTAACCACTGGAGGCGCCAAGGGGTGGCTTGAGCCTCCCCTCCTCTCCATTACGCCTGCTAAAATAAGTGTAAAATCTAATTTTCTGGTGTGCAAACCTAGTCTCCCCAACCCTTCAAAATAGACTATGGCCTAAGTCCCTGAGATAAGAAATTCTGGAGCCGCTTCTGTCTCCAACCTCTGCCCCAGGCGGGTAGCCCGACGACCCAAGATGTAGGGCTGGGGACTGAGCGCCCGCTCTCCGCAGGCCCTCAGCTTACGGAGCCTTGAGGGGGCCAAGAACCACCTGTGGCGGGCGCACAGCGTCTTCGTCTCCGCCCTCTTCTCCCTCTGTCGCGGGGAGCCGCCTTACATCCCAGTGGGTCAGCGGGGAGAGGATGCCTGTCCCCGAGGGAGCGCAGCCAGTGGGAAGGGCGGCTCAAACTCCGCAGGGCTAGGGCCGGGCGGAGGGCCAGGCACTCCTCGGTGCTGAGACAGCGGCACCGCGAGAGGCGCCTCGCGGCCCAGCTGAATCCCGCGCCCGATGCCCTCAGAGGAGCCGGCAGAGCCAGCGCGTCTGCGTCAGAGAGTCTCGGGCCGCTGAGGAGCACGCGGCGACGGAGGGGACCGAAGGGGTCCTGGGGTCGCGGCGCAGGGCGGGAGGCGGCGGGAGCGCCACCTACTTCTTTCGGGTACGGGTTTGCCTCCACGCGGTCAGCTTCCGCCCTCAGCGCTCCACGTTGGGGTCCCAAATCTCTTCCTGAGGACGCGCGCACACACGCTCTGCGTCCCGGCCTTGGGGTCCCCAGTCCCCGGGCCCGGACGGCAGCCCGTTCCCTTACTCAGGTGCCTGGTGCTCCGGGTCTCCCTAGACAGCTGGAGGACGCGCCCTTCAACGCGTCCCCAGCCCCATAGCTGTGCTCCGGGGAGCTGGAGCCGCTGCTGGTGGCGGCCGGAGATGGCGGGCGGGCCTACCTGAGGTTCCAGGACGGAGGCGGCTTTGGGCCGCCCGAGGGAAACTGAAGAAGCCCTCGGCGGCGCCGGAAGCAGCGGGAGAGGCGGAGCCGCAGGGGAGGGCGCTGGGCCATGGCGGAGAGGCGGGCGTGCTCCGCATCCTCGCTGCAACCATCCTGCTCTCGCCCCGCAAGTGAAGGGGGCGGAGGACGGCCAGGGCTGTGCAGTGGCCTGGGCTACGCTTGGCTGGGCCGCAGCCGAAGGCTTCGGGGGCGGCGGCTGCTACCGGGGCAAGTGCACTCTTGCGGAGTTAGCTCCCAGGGTCAAGTGAAGTGAGACCTTAGTTATTAAGCCCTCTGAAGGACAGGTAGGAAAGGGCTTGAACCCCGCCCTGGGCCAGAGCAGATAAAAGCTCTTAGAAAAAAAGAGTTAAATTCAATTGCAAATAATACAAGCAGACAGGACTCCCTAGATTTTCATTTAAATCCGGGACTATTTTCATCACAACCGGTCTCCTTGTCCTACAGCAGCCCCAAGAGCTTAGAGCTGGCTGAGTTAGCAAGCTGAACAGGGAGGCAGAAAGGCAGGGATAATTTAAATCAGCAGTTCTCAAAGTGTGGTTCCTGAACTAGTAGCATTAGCACCAGCTAGGAAGTTACAAATGCGAATTCTCAGCCCCTCTCCAACCTACTGAATCAGATACTCTAAAGGAGACTCCTAGCCAACTGTGTTTTAATCAATCCTCTGGGTGATTTTAATATACCCCAGAGTTTGGAAATCACTGGTGTAAAGAGACAGAGCCATTGGGTCTGTCTGAGCCATACTGTTCATGAATACTTTATACACATCTCCATTATCACAAAAATGGAACATGTGGTTTGATCCTCTTCCATTTCATATCTGAGGACATGAAATCAGAGGGTTTCAGGCAGACCAGGGGGTTGTCCCAGCTCAGACTGTCCCTGAGCAAAGCCTTCAGGTTCCAGCTGATTACTCCCATCTCACCTCCCAGGCTCTTGGCTCCCACTTCTGAGCTGGCAGCACCTGTATTATAATGCTAGTGTAGAGAGGGCCACAGGGGATTGGCACTGGGAGACAACAGCTTCCCCTCAGTTGGCAAGCCAACCTCCCATCTGTATGTCCCTTCCTCCCCTCCTCCCCCATATTGTGGCCAAACCCTCTACCACTTTCAATTTCCAGGACTCAGAGACTGACATCCTCTGGGTTGATGAAGAAAATGGGGTATCCTTCATACACCCCAGCAGTGAACCCTACTTGCAGCCTCTGGCAGATATTGGCCCCCACCCCCACCCCCAGCTTTCAGCGGGGTCTAGCCTTCTTCCTCAATTTCTGAGCCCACTCCCATCTGAGCCACCAACTCTGCTGTGCTGATTCTTGGACAGCACAAGAGTTCTCAAGAACTGGGTGGTCAGTTGTGATGCCAGTATAGGTCATTCTGGGGTGCTTGTCAAATATCTCCTATTATGAATTCTTTTTTTTTTAATGTTTATTTATTTTGAGAAAGAGTATGAGCAGGGGAGGAGTAGAGAGAGAGAGAATCCCAAGCAGGCTCCTATCATCAGCACAGAGCCCAAGATGGGGCTTGATCACGACCTGAGCCATTGAGGCACCACTCTACTATGAATTATTTAGCTCAATCCTCCAAGCTCCAGAATCCCAGAAGAGGGAGTATACTGGTTTGCCAGAATCCTCCAAGCCCTTCTGCTACCCCTTCTATGCCTGATATTGCTCATTGTTCAAAGTCCAGGGCTAGAATTAACCACAGAGCTGGAAAAAGTATGTCTGTCCCCCACCTTCACCCTACAATATCAGTATTTTTTTTAAGGATTTTTTTTTTATGAGAGAGAGAGAGAAAGCGTGAGTAGGGGAGAGTCAGAGAGAGAGAGGGAGACACAGAATCTGAAGACAGGCTCCAGGTTCTGAGCTAGCTGTCAGCACAGAGCCCGATGGGGGGCTCGAACCCACAAACCGTGAGATCATGACCTGAGCCAAAGTCAAACGCTCAACCGACTGAGCCACCCAGGTGCCCCCAATATCAGTTCTTTTACTCATAGTCGTAGAGAGCCACAGAGAGGCAGAGATCCGACTCCCCCTCAACTGCAGTCATTGACATTGCCAATGGCAGGCAGAGCTCTGGTTATCCAAATGCATGTGCCCAGAGGACATGGAGCTAGCTGCAGATAACATGCATTGGTAAGTCCTTCCTTTGTCCAAGGTCTGGAATTCTGGGGCCATAGGCTGGGAGGAGCAGTAGGCTGCTTGGAAAGCTGACTGGTATGTTCCAGGCACCATTGTAGGTGCTGGGCAGGAAGCTGGATATGCATGCATCAGTGCATGCTCTGCCTTCAAGGAGTATGTAGTCTAGTATGTGGTCTACTAGTGGTCTAGTATGGGAGGGGTGATATCTACCTACCCACCTACATATCTTCCTATTTAACTATCTAGATCTGGATCTAGATCTTTATTAAAGTGACAATCGTCATGGGAGGTTTAAAATGTTTTAGGAGTTCTCAGGAAGGAAGTGTTGCTTTTGTCTAGGATAAATAGGGAAAGCATCATGGAGAAGTTAACAGTTTGGCTGAGTCTTGAGGCCGGGGTAAAATTTGGGTCGGGGGATAGAGAGGAGCTTCCCACTGGAGGCATCTCTCTTTCTCCCTAGACCTGCCCCCTCCACCAGGCCTTTGGTTCTGTTGGTGACTGTGCTTGTGACCTCTACATTGAGCCTTCTTATGGTGTGTGGGGTTCTGATTCTGGGTAAGCAACATCCAGAAGGTATGGCTGACTCAAGGCTGCCCACCTCTTCACTGAGCTGTGTGAGCCCCCAGAGACAGACGAGGCTGATTTCAAGACCCCTGCTTCTGGGGAGCCTGGGTGGCTTAGTCGGTTAAGTGTCCAACTTCGGCTCAGGTCATGATCTTACTGTTTTGTGAGTTTGAGCCCTACATTGGGCTCTCTGCTGTCAGCATGGAACCCCACTTCAGATCCTCTGTATCCCCTCTCTTTATGCCCCTCCTCCACTAGCATTCATGTGCACACACTCTCTCTCAAAACAAAACAAAAAACCCTGCTTCCAGCAGAGCAGTGGTGGATTCCTCTAGTGTTCTAAGAGTAGAAGAAGCTGTGGAGGCCCAGGAAAAACATTTGCCTTAATGGGCATCTGGAGAGATGTCCTGGGCACAGGGGTAGCAAAGCAGGGTGGCTGGATAGGCAGGCAGAGTATTTGCCATCTTCCTCAGTGAACCATAAGTAGTGGCAGGGCCTGTGGCAGATGAAGCTGCAAGGCCCTGAGCTCCAGCTGAGCGAGTTTCGAACCTCTACCATCAGAACAGCCTTCAACCCCTACTACTGCCAGGTGGGGTTTGGCTCAGCCCAGGCCTGGCCTCTGGCCCCAAGGGCTTACAGAGGTTTCCTCAGCCAACGTCACTCTGCTCAGGTGAGTGTTCCCTCTCCTGAGAACCTATGCACTCTGAAGGTCTCCCTCCTCCATCCCATTCCCTGCTGTGGTCAATTATGGTTCCCAGAGAGAATCTGGCCCCAAACCCCTGTGTAGAGGAGACAAAGGCCAGAGAAGTTCCAAAAGGCACAGTAACTTGTCTAGGTCAGTTGTCATCCCCAGTCCTGGGATGGTAGGGACACTATGATTCCTTTGGAGCAAGAGTTGCTTCTACCCAGGGTGTCGGCAAGGACATAAGAAAACCTCATCACAGACTCCCACCCCCACTCTGAGCCCAAACCTGCTCTCTCTTCTGCCTTAGTTTTGTGCCAGTCAGTATCACCTCTGCAGGGCTTGTACCTGGGGAGATGCCATGATGCAGAAAAACCTCAGAGTCCTCAGAAAGGGCCACCTGGGTATATAGGGGGTGGCAAGGGAGGTAAAGAAGGCACTAGACCCTCTAGGGGGTCCCAGCCACCCACTATGTTCCAACCTGGGCCATGGTGCCTTTGGAGGAGTTTATGAGGGACTGGTAACTGGCCTTCCCGGGGATCCCAGGCCCCTGCAGGTGGCTATCAAGGTGAGAGGGGTGGAACTTCCGGCTGGAGGGAGGAACAGTTGCTAGAACTAGGGTCAGCCCACCCTCCTGAAATGTCTGGGGGAGCTCAGGAGCCCTTTTCCTCCCCACACCCTGCCAGAACTTGCTCTTGTCAGGAGGAGCTGGATTTCCACATGGAGGCCCTCAAAATCAAGTGCACCTGGGCCCAAGGGCAGGGGTGAAAAGTGAGCACAGAACTGCCTGCTGGGACAGCTTCTCTTTGCCCTGGGACTGAGAGGTAGCAGTTCTAGGGATATAGAGCCTCTGTCCACTTTTGTGGAACCTAGATCCTAGTTTCCTTTCCTGCTGGTGACTTGGGTCTGGCACCTCCCACACAGCAAGTTCAGCCATCAGAACATTGTACACTGTGTGGGGCTCAGCTTCTGGACTGCCTCTAGCCTAATTCTGCCGGATTTGAGGTCTGGAGGGGACATGAACACTTTCCTAAGGAACAACTGGCCACATTTGGTAAGACCCAGCTTTCCTGGCCCATCTAAAGACCCCATCCATGTGTCCCAAAACAAGCATGGACTAACACACCCTCTGCCCTACCCAGGGCCAGCCATCACCTCTGGCCATGAGGGACCTGCTCCAGCTGGCTCAGGACATAGCCCAGGGCTGCCACTACCTGGAGGAAAATCACTTCATCCACAGGTTGGAAGTGATCCTGGCTCAGAGCGGGTAGGGGAACAGCCCAATCTCTAATCTCTAATCCCCAAGGAATAGCTTTTCCACATAACTTTTAAGGAAATAGTCCAGGGTCAGAGGTTCTGAGATCTGGCAGTGATTTTTTTTTTTTTTTTTTTTTTTTGCCTGCAGGGACATCACTGCCAGGAACTGCCTCCTGAGCTGCACTGGGTTCAGCCCAGTGGTCAATACTGGGGACTTCAGGATGGCGAGAATATCTGCAGGTGTGAGGTCTGGAGACGTGGAGAAGGCTGCTGCTCCAAGGGATGTACCAGCACTCAGGTGGCATTTGAGCCACTTATCACTTCCCTCCTCCCTCCTGTAGAGCCAGTTATTACTACAGAGGGGGCTGGACTCAGCTGCCAGTCAAGTGAATGCCCACAGAAGGCTTCCTGGAAGGCATCTTCACATCCAAGACAGATACCTGGTGATAACAAGCCCGCCCCCTTCTTTGGCCTTGGGCCACCTCATGTGACGGAAAGGGGAGGCTTTCAGTGGGCTTCATTGAGTTTCCCCCACTCATGATGCAGGTCTTTTGGTGTCCTGCTCTGGGAAATCTTCTCATTAGGTTACGTGCCCAACCCTGGGTGCACCAACCAGGATGTGCTGTACTTTCTCATTGGAGGGGGATGGATGGGCCCTCCTAGAGGCTGTGCAGGGCCTGTGTGAGTATATAGTGTTGTCCAGGGAGGGAGGTTCTTCACAGCCGTGGGTGGTTACGACATCCTGCCTTTCTGCAGGTACTGTATCATGACCCAGTGTTGGCAGCACCAGCCTGAATTCTGCCCCCATTGTGCCAGCATCTTGGAGCATCTTCAGTACTGCATTCAGGTGTGCCCCCTCACCTGCCTTGACCATCTTGATCTTGAGGGCCGGAAGGGAAGCCATAAAACAATGCTGCTCCTCTGCCCTTCCATTATAGGGCCCTGATGTGCTGAATTCATTCCTGCCAATGGAGCCACAGCTCACTCTAGAGGAGGAAAAGGATTCTGGGCTGGGGAGCAGGTCTTTGGAGGGGCTGAGATCCCCACAGGCCCAGGAACTGAGTCTGGATTGCTTAAGAGATGGGAAGGGAACTTCCTTGGCCCCTGGCTACCCTCTAGCTCCAGGGACCTCCAACCTCAGAACATTTGGAATCCCGCCCTATGCCTCTTGGGCCCCAAGGGGCCCTGAAGATGAGGACTTAGGCATTGATGGTAGTAATGGTTCCTCCCTACACTCTTCCTTGGGCTTCTAGGCAGCTTGTTCTTCCATTAGCCTCTGTCCCCTGCAGTCTGTACTGAATGTCTGGGCCTGTCTCAGAGCTGGCCAGGCACCAGTGGACTCCCCATCCTGGAAACCAGCCTAGGCTTCTTGGAGAAGAGCTTGGACACTCCTAGCCTTAGATCTTTGGGACCAGAGGTTGAAACTGCCTCCCTCAGGAAGCCTTCTCTGGATTATCCTTTACCCCATGAATGTCTTTCATCTGGTCAGCCCTCAACCCTACCGACACCTCTAATAAAGAGCTCTTCTCATATCCTCCAGTGATCTAGCTGGACATGAAGGATGCTAGGGAAGTGAGAAAGGGACCAGAGGAGGGAGGGGATGAGGCCTGAGTCACCAAAACTGGTGTCTTTGAGTTTTATTGGCAAAGGCTGTCCATTGTAGTGTGGGAGGTTAGACCAATAGATCTAGTGCCTGCAAAATAAAATTCATTATCTGGCCTCTCTAGAGAGATAAGCAGCTCCCTCAAAAGAGCTGGGCTCAGGAAGGAGCCCATTGTCCCAGCCACCCTCCCTACCCCCCTCCCTGGGTTAGTTAGTGCCAACGGTTCTGGGAACTCTGGGGCTTGTATGGGGGACAGCCCCCAGCGCGTGCAGTGTGTCCCATTGAGGTTGGCACTTGGCCTTCAGAACCGTGTGAACCTCCCCGCATCACGGGGTTTCAGTCTCTGGCTGGCATGCATGGTGTGGACACAGCCGCAGGTCCATCTGTCAGAGCCAGGGCCCAGCCTCATCTCTCAGCTAGGCTGGCCAGGATGCTAATGAGATTGTCCAGCCCCAGCAAATAGCCGTCCTCGCGGTTGCCCTCCTCCCAGGGCCGCCGGTGGTCCAGGGTTTGGCCGTCGGGGAGGGGCGTGGTCTTGCCGAAGTCAATGAGCCACACACCGGCGCGGTGGCAGTGATCGTGCACGAAGAGCAGCGAACTGCCGATCACCTGTCGAGCCCCACACGGTCAGGCCACGACCCTTTCCTGGAGAAGCCCCCCCATCCTAATCCTGCTGTAGCCCTCACAGACCACAGTCCCCACACCGGAGTCTACCCTCCTCTTACCTCGTGCCTCCTAAAGAACTCAGAGACCTCCAGGGTGTCCCGGATCTGCTGCAGGCGGTTCAGATACCTCCTCTGGAGAGGGGAGGGTAGGAGAGGAGGGCAAATTAAACACTAATTAAGCCTCTGCTGATATTAGTGGCCACGAGGCATCCTTAACTTGGCAAATACCATGGTGAAGAAGACACGGCCCCCAGGTGGGATAAATGCTAGGATGGTGTGGGGAGGGGGGGGCGGGGGAACGTGTCACAGAGGAGGGAGCTAAACCGGATAACCTAGGGGCACCCCTCATTTTCGGATTTCCCCAACACCCCAGGGTTCTAGGATGCGGTGCTCACCAGCACTTCTGCATCCCCTTGCACAAATTCCTTGAAGACGTGAATCACCTGCTCCCGGCTTCGCGTCGTCTTGAAGTCCGTGCTGCAGGAGCCATCGGCTTTCTGATGGAGGTGGGACAGGAAGTGTCAGGGTCCTGTGTCTCTCCTCAGCTCGAGGGGAGAGGATGAGACTAGAGCAGTGATACCTCCCAGGACGCTGGGTGCTAGGACGGCGGGAAGGCCGTCGGAGAGCACCTCATGGTGGGGGTCAACAAAGAGGGCAGAAACCGCGCGGCAGGGTTAGGGCTGAGGGAGGGGCAGGGCGCTGCAAAGCGAAGCGGGCCTGGCGCACCTTGATGCCTTCGATGCGGAAGCCCAGCGTGGTGCTGGAGCTGATGCCCTCTCGCCACTGCATGTAGCGTGGCTTGGTGACCGCGCGCTGCGCGTGCTCCTCCTCAGTAGGCGCCGCCGGGTCTACTGCCAGCATCTTCTTGTACATGTCCTTCCGCAGCTTGGGCCGCTCGCGGGCTTTGGTCAGCTCCTCTTCCAGGTAAGTCCTGCGGGGGCGCAGGCAGCGGCGGGGCATAAGAGAGCGCACACCTGAACCCAGTCCAGCGCGGCTCTGGGCACCCGGTAGAGCGCTCATCCCCTCCCTGTGTGCGCGCCCAGCCAGGCATGGCATGTGTACCTGACGCCCATCTTGCAGTCAAGTACGCAAGGCCCATCGAAGCCGTCGAGGAGGTCCTGCAACTGCAAGTAGCTCTCACCATCGCGCTCCACCACGCCGTGGAAGGCGGGCACGCAGCCGCGCAGCGCGTCCGCCATGAGCCGAGCCAGGCAGTAGCGCTCCGGCTCTGAGCTGCGCTTCAGGATCAGCCCGCTGGTGCCAGCCGCCTTGAAACTCCCTGCAGACTAGCACCAGTTAGCACTGCCTGGTCCCTGCCTACCCCAGGCACCCACGCACCCCACCGGCGCCTACCCTGTGCTCACCCGTATGCCCAGCCAGCTGCACCCAGGCATAGCGCCTCTTGAAAGGGCTCATGACGGGCAGATTCACCATGGTCCGGATCTTCTGCCAGTGGCTTTTCTGAAAGCGACACGGTCCGGCATGCACGTTGGCGCCTCAGAAGTGCATGCGCCCTCCCTCCTTTGGATTAGGGTCTCCTTCTGCCCCAACCCACCGCAAGTAGCTAGGGCTCCACGATTGATTCATTCATTCACTCACTCACTCACTCACTCACTCACTCACTCACTCACTCAAGGAAAGTTTATTGTGAGCCTATGTGTAGGACACTGAGTTGGGCACAGGGTGATGACAGATACCCAGCTTATCGATCGTGCTCAAAAGAACCTTGAATTGAGTGCCAAAAGGGCTCAGGTTTGGCCCCACGTCTGCTGCCCTGAGCTGTGTGGGCAGGTTACTAAAGTGCTCTGTCGAGGACTTAGAACATTCCTGAGCTTGAGCATTCCCTGACGGTCACCCCTGTTAAAAAATACAGAGCTCAGGTCTGCCCCCAGGGAAATTCTAAGTAGGTCTGGGTGGAGCCAAATTTGCATTTCTAACATTGCCTGGGGAGATTCTGGGGACTGAGAAACAGGCCTCTGAGTGTCAGTTTCTTCATCTGTATAATGGGGAAATAATCACTCTCCCTGGGTTGTTATGAGTAGTAAATAAGGCCTGAGTGTGACAGGCTTCCTCCTCCCCCGAACCCCTTTCCTTGACATGAAGCAGAAATGGACAAATCTGGATTCTTGCTTCATTCACTTTGGACTATTGGTTACTCTCATTTAGGGAGACAAACATGGAAACAAACCTTTGCAAAGGCCCAGGGCAGAGAGGCTAGCCTGGAGGGGCCTGGGAAAAGAATGGCTTGGGGCTCCGCAGACCCTCTTGCTACTCCTGGATGCCTTATCACTCCTCACCAGTTGGCAAGGCTCAGGGCATCCTTGATCTTGATCTAGACCCAGAAGCTCCAGCCTTGAAAATGGGATGCAGAGCTGAGAGCCTGTCATCTTAGATGAAAACAGGAAGGAAATGTAGATTTTGGTGTACTTCTTGCCTCATGACCATTGCTTCTGGCCTCCATGCAATTCAGAGAGGATTTCATATTCTGGACCTTTCCTTTTCCCACCCCAAACTCATCAGCCTTGTGTCCACCCTCTAAAGTACACGGGTTTGCTCATCCAAACTATGTGTATGCTGCCTCCTCCCAGGGGAGCTTGCCTCAGAGGAGTTACATATGTGTGCCAGGAGTTATAGGGTTGGGACACAGAAATCCAGCCTCCCTGATCAGAGAGAGTTCCAAGAGGGAGGGGGAGAACTCTGCCAAAACAGGGGAAGATTACTGACTATAAAGCCTTTTCCTGTGGGGAGGAGATGGGGGTTAGTGACAGGGCACTGGAATCAGGTGGCTCGATCACTTTTTAGCTGAGTGAACCCAAGTAAGGATTTCATCTGTGTGAGCCTGTTTCCTCTGGGAGGATAGAGCTGCTGCCATAACATGAGCCACCATTTACTGACCGCCTACTGCCTGCCAGGCACTTCTCATCTTTCATCAGAAAGCACTGCTCCTACTTTCCTACTCAAGTCCCTACATGGCACACTAAGGTGTGATCACGTGTCCAACCCCCAGGGATCTGGGGGTGTAGCCAGAAGCAGCCCACTAGAAACATGACATCTCTTTCAAAACTCCCTTTTTTACTCTTTAAATACATGCAAGGTTTGCATTCTGCTGCATAATAAATCCAAGTTTTATTATAAAACTCTCCCACCTCCAAATCCTCAAGTAAAATTCCAGGAAGATGTATGTGCCATGTGTATGCAGTGGCACCATGCTATACCCTCTTCTCCCACTCAGGATTTTCAAATCATTCACATTCACAGCAAGAGCATGGGGTGGCAGCATTATTGCCATTTTACAGAAGGAAATCAAGGCTCAGAGGAGTTAACATCCCCTCACTCCCTACCTCCAGCCTCCTGACCTCTGGCTGAAGTTCTCTACCAGCCCAACCTCCTACCCCAGGTTCCAATTACCCCAGCAGCTTCCAAAATCCATGCTACCACCCCAATTCCCTTTGGGGGTCCAATGGGACCCTGCATGAGAAAAAGCTTTGTATAAGATGAAGCAATCTGCAGCCACAAGGCGGGGTGTCTGCTCTCTGGGGAAACACTGAGACCTACCTGAGCTCTGTTGGCTGGACATCTCTGTCTTCATCCAAAGAAGTGGGTTTAAGGGTATGGTTTCAGGAAGCTTTAGGGGCCTACTGGCAGAAGCTTGGGGACAGTCAGACTTGGAGGGTATATCTAGTTCTGTAGCCACCCCAGTGGAAAAGGGAGCCAGCCCTGGTCTAGATGAGCTGAGAGAACCTCACCATCCTTTCTTCTGGGATCATGTGGGAGCAGTGAGTGGGGCTGGAAGGTGGGAGGTGGGCCCAGTAGAAGAAGATTTAGTGCCTGCAGTCCTGGGCTACTGTCACTTGATTGATCCGTGATAACACAGCATTGATTTGCTCCCAAGCTGAGGTAAAATAGGGTCATCACCTATTC